AGAGTTAAGTAAGAAATACTGACTTCTCTGTTCCAGTTAGTTAAGGAAACGACCACGATCAAGATTAGGGTTTGCAAGGCAATGCCACCAATCATCCCTGACCAAATACCCTACAGAACACACAAGTTCAAAAAATTGAATTTGGAGGGAAACTAAACACAATTAATTAACCCATATAAGATATCGTTTCCAAGTGAAAAAGAAAAAGAGGAACTTTGTATCACCTCCACTCCAAAATCAAATGTGAATCCAAGAATTATTCCAGCTGGCAATCCGACGATATAGTAACACCCAATGTTGATGTATGCAACAAGAGCTTGCCATCCTGCTCCAACAGCGACACCTGCAGAAACAATTTAAAGACAATAAACAGTTAAGAACAATAAAATTTACTTTTACATATATTGTGTGTTTGTGTTTAGTATTTACCAGATAAGACTGGTTGAAGGCTGTTGAGAAGGACTGTGACTCCAAGCAAGAGTGCAAGTTTAGTAGTTTCCTTAGCAACGGCATCACTGTTGGTGAAAAGGTACGGGAAATAATCTCTTGTTGCTAAAACTACAGCCAAGCAAACCACTCCTATAGCCACTGAAGTGATGGAAACCACTACCACAGCAAATTTCGCTATCTTGGCATTTCCAGCTCCAAGTTCATTTGATACTCTCACACTGTTGCAACATACATCACAAGGTAAATTAGTTTTTCATGAAACATGGAATGTTATTTTTATACAAAGTTTAAAAACAGAACAAATTGGGATGGAATAAATAAACAAGGAAAAAAAGAAGATGAAGGGAGCATAATTATACCTTATTGCAGCATTAAACCCAATCGCAATCATTGCATCCCATCCATTTATGTTCATGCTGCATAAATTGTTGTGAGGGTAAGGTCAAAGCACTAAAAGTTCATGGTTCTGTGAAAAAACCCATGAAATCACTATTTTCTATCAAACTTTCTAGATAACTAAAGCACATTACCAAATAGAGATGGCATCAACTGGGATCAAAGGGTTGTTCAAACGGCCTGTTATAACCACTAGCACCATCAAGTACCAGAATTCCAAGCTGCATTTTGCACAGCAAGCAAACCTTAATCAGCATATGGTACCAAAATATTGTACTTCACATAGACCATAGGACTTAAAGGAGAAGAAAAATACCATAACATGACAGCAGAAGCTAAGGATAGCTTAACAAAGCCAAATAAGTCTGCAAATGCAAGCCAAGAGAATCCACTCCAAGCACCATCTGACTTGGTGATGAAGATGTACAACAATTGGGCAATAACAATTAGCCACCATGATGTGTTGAGCATGACTGCTGCCCCAATTAAGCCCCACCCAAGCTTCAACATCAACAACCAGCTGAATAATGTATGTATTACTAGCACTACAGCTGATATCCAGGCCATGACAAAGACCTTCCTCTGTGCTTGCAAAAACTTTTGTATGGGAAAATTGAGTGCGTAGGCAAACAATTGTGGAATCATCCACAGAGCAAACTTTCCTGCACCATAAAGAACCCAATACTTGTCAAACTTTACAGAAGTACCAACTCACAAATGGGAAGTTACGAAAACAGAGAAGAAAAAAACTAAATGGCAATCTTCCGACAAGGAGAAAATTTAAAAAGGCAAAGAAAAAGTGACTTCCATTTTTGGGCAAACAAGTTGGCTTTGAGGCTAGGAAGGCTTATAGGCGTCGATGGCCTTGAGACAAGCCCATTTTCAGCAAATTAATGAACAATTCTAGAAACAAGGAAAGAAAGATTTGGCCAAACTTGTGAATGATGTGATTAATTAATACCACAAATCCAAGTCTTTAGAAAAAAAAAGATTACTTTCTTTTTCAGTGGGATTGTTTTCATAAGGAATTGCCATGTGTTGGCCAGCTTCTATTAATTATTAATTAATAATTAGCCTTCTTTAATGGATACGGACAAAAACCAACATATTTTTCTTGCACGT